GATCGATGGATTTGGTGTGGTACTCAAGCTTCGATAACTAGAGGCTGTCGCAACACCAAATGGTGCCTTTTCCCAAGTTTGAGGCGCTGGCAAAGAGTTACTAGAATATCTTGGCTGATCGATGAAGGGAAATGGCCTGGGGTTATTTGCAGTCTGATTTAAATTTGATTGGACCCTTGACCCATTTTCCATTGACCCAGTTTCTCTACCCGGCCCAAACCCAGCTGCATTTAAACCTTTGCCTAGTCCATTATCAAATTTCTCAAGCCCACATTCAATTGTATTTTTTCTTCCCTGTTTACCTAGCCCAACTGAAATATTTCCTCTATTAAACCCATATAGCCCAACTGGTTTAACAGTGCTATTAAGCCCAAACTTCATTTCTTCTAAAGCCCAATTGTTCTCTTCTATTTTCTGGGCTAACTACATTAATTGAATTAATAAATTGGACTGGCCCAATTTGACTTCAGCTTTTATCTCTGGTCTAAGCCCGTTTAAGAAGGAAACCCACAATATGTCTTCTTTCTCTTCATGCCATGGAGTAGATAGAGCTTCAAACTTCTGGCGATATTCTTCCACTGTACCAATCTGTCAAATTCCCATCAGCGCATCATATGATCCTTCTTCCTGTGAGCCACTGAACCGATGAAGCAAGGCAAGTTTAAAGGTGTCCTATGTCGTCACCGGAGCTCGCACCTCCATCCTCTGGAACCAATTGATTGCGTCACCCTCCATACAAACGGCCATTGTGACCAACCTTTCATTCTCGACGATCCTGTACACATTGAAATAATGCTCAATCCTAAATAGCCATCCATAAGGATCTTCCCCCGTGAAGAGCGGCATCTCTAATTTTCTGCTGCTAATTTCTTGTCGCAATCGCTCGGTGTTCATCGTTCCTCCATTAACATCTTCCTGGTTTGGTCCTTGATTTCTTGGGATTTCTGTCGACCCATTACCCTCACCCTTCTTGCTTCTTCTTCATCTTTACGCCTCATCCAAGCTAGCATTTCCCTTAAGCATTCTTTGATCATTCCCAAATCTTCCTTCATTGATGTAATTTCTTTCTCCATTTTTGTTTTTACCATTCCCCAACCTTGGCTCTAATACCAATTGATAGGAACCTGGATTCTTAACACTCAACACAACCCAACCCAAACAGAGTACAATATACCCAAACAAAGCAATATTCCAACATAGATCAGAGACAATTGAGAAAGCATTAATATGAATATACCTCTATATTGATTGATACAGAAATGGATAATAACAATAATGAAGAACAATTAAGAAAACAGTATTGAATGTAAAGATAACCTAGCAATTCAAGGAGCTAGGGGCCTCCCTTCCAATATCCCACTAAAATATTCTCTACCCTTTACAATTCATATCCCTCAATTTATACTCACAAACGTCACACCAATTCCATTGTAGTTTCCACATGGATAACCAACTCCCACTTGCAAACATGCCCACTCACACACCCAGCACCCTACTGCCCTTTATGCCCTTTATATTGATAGATTTTACTATTAGGAGGTCTCATCATATTGAAATCGGCTATTTCTACAAACAGGAGAGTCACAGTGTAGTTTCCATTTTCGAGACCTAATCCATAGTATCTTAGAGATGAAGTAGAGATTCGAGCAGTTTGGAAAAGTTCCAAGTCTTGAGTATTTGTGACTAAAGACCGAGAAAAACTGTTATACTGTGGATCACTTCTCCCAATAAAAGTTCCAACATTACTAACTCCCCATCTATTTGTGTCAATCACATAGTATGTAGTTGGACCAAGAGCTTCATTATCGTTCTCATACACAACATCATTATAAGATGTATATTCTAGACCACTACATTGAACCGCGAAGCTAGAATCTGCATACCAGTATAGTCACTTATCAAGATACAGAATTAAGAAAAATGCATGTCTAAAGTTTGATTTATAATATCTATAAAACCTTTCCAAGATATAATCATCCCAAAACAGATCCTTACCTTCTCTTTTGACCTTGCTTATTATTAATGTGTTTAACTTTTGAAACCAAATGCAGAAGTTGTACTTACAGATTGGAGAACCTCGATTGCAAGGAAAACTAAGTTGGAGACAGTTCAACCCATGCGGCAAAACACTGAAGGAAGAGAAGCAACATAGAAATTCTGTTAAACAACAAGAACTAGCATCTAAAGCACCCATTTCTATAAGTTGTCCGTTACTATTCCATTTCACAATTGTAGAAAGTTTCAAGCATTTCAATAATTTGTAAAACCAGAGAATCACCTGCTGTTAGAACTTTCTAGGTAGAAGTTGTTGGAAACTAAGTTACTGCACAGTGCACCAATAACATTCCGAATGTTAGTTTCATCATAGGGTAGATACTAAACTGGAAAGTGAAAATTTAACTAAGAATTATTTCCATCATAGGGTAAATACTAAACTGGAAAGTTAAAATTTAACTAAGAAAATGTAAAATATAGTACAGATGTTACATTACTTTATGTTTAAAAGAAATTAAGGACTTACATTTGTAAATTTATTTCTCTGATCCAAGAAGGAAGGCTTCCGAATAGATTATTGTAAGATACATCTCTGCACGGCAGGTGAGGAATGTTAGCTACAGAACACAGCTGGTAGCGAGTACAAAATTCAGGCCTTATTCAAATCACATTGATTTTTTTCTATAAGCTTTCGACACCATCTAAAACCTCAATTGTAATGACTCCTTTATACTAGGATACTCATAGAAATACATAAAGTAAAAATACATTTATATTAGCAAAAGTAAATGGGCCCAAAATTTTCTTTTATTATATATAAACATTCTTTATACCAAGTAAGGTATCATTTTACAAAAGGTTATCAAAAACAGTGGACAGTGTAGCTATTGATCCTTGCTTGTCGACGTCAATCTGATTCCGTCCTCACCTAGATCCTACAACCACAAAGAAAACAACGGGGTGAGCACAAAAATAATGCTCAGTAAGTAAATCATCTACTCGTCTGTCCCCGTAACTCTCTCTCTTACTTCTTTCCTTACACACTTCTCGTCTCATTTATTTTCTCGTTCTATGTCTCTTTCACACAGCTCTCTTTTATTAATTTTCTATTGTAAGTCACGGCCTCATCTTACTGGAGGCACGGCCGGGTGGAGTTCACAAAGCATCAACCCACTGTACGTGACTCTACTCATTCTCTCTTCATTCTTTCTCATGTTTTTCTCATCCTTTCTCACTTGAATGTCACGGCCTCATCTTACCGGAGGCACGGCTAGGTGGAGTTCACAAAGCATCAACCCACTCTTCATGACTTCCGGCTGGAGTTCACAAAGCACCAACCCATTCTTAGATTTTTCTCATTCTCTTTAGTTTTAGAGTAGCTCGTTCACAAAGTTCTCTACTCTTTCTCAAACTACTTCTCAATGCACAATTAATACATAAGGATGGTTCATGCTTAAAATTTCTTACTTAATGCACTTATGAAATGCACAAATGCAATATTGCATTAAGATAGTCATTCTGCATAGGTCACACTCCAGAAGGCCTAACTTGAGTTATACACATCGGATTGCTACGATTTTGGTCTCGTTTTAAAGTTTAGAGACAGGGATACAACTTTTATGTTTTGGTCTCAACCCAGTTCAATCAGTAAGATGCCTAAAAATCACTTAGAAAGTCACGGCTGTGACAGGATAGTTTTCACTTAGGCATTTCATCAAATAACAATTGTGCCTAAACATACCCTAATTAAATTATCATTCAACTTGTTTCCTAAACCATCCAAAATGAGAGAGAAAACTCTCTTAAATCATCACCATAACCCCACAGCACAAACACTCCCACAATACTTCTCCAATTCTTCCAATTTCATCTCAAACTACATTCTCATCACTTAACAACACTTCTCATAATTGAAGTGTATTCAATAACCACAAAGCAAATATTCATCTCAACTCAATTCTCAATAATATAAGATACTTATACATACATAAATCTCTACTCAATTTCTACTCAAAGGATTTCTCAAATCTCAACTTGGGTTGGATTTACATACCTTATAATGGAGAGATTTCACTAACACTTTTCCTTTCCTTTGATAGCTTGTCTCTTCTCTACAACTTTAATCAATAAAACCATAAGACTTCAATATACATATAAGCAAAACTTCACATCTAAAGTAAGAATCATTACCTTAGGATGCCTTAGATAAACTTTCTACCCCAAACTACTCAAAAAGCCCTCCAAAATTCTTGAAATATTGAAAGAAAAGTTGAGAGGAATTAAGGAATGGGAATGGCGATGGAGAAGAGAAAATGAAGGGTTTTCTAAACCCAAACCCTTATTAGCTCATAATTAACACATGCCTTCCCATTTTGCCCTTGCTCTTTCTTAGAAATTTCATCTATGTCCCTTAGTCAATTACAATAATGCCCTCATTTTTATTGCATTCTCCATGAAATTCTATCTTTTTCACTCCCTAAGTTTTCAACTAATTTTGAGTGAAAAGACCATTTTACCCCTAATGAAAGTTTAAGGGATTTTCTTCACATTTTTCTCAAAATAACTTTAACAAAATTCAACTAAGGGCCAACCAACCAAAAATAACAACATGCAAGCTCAATTGAGAACAAATCAAGAAACGTTCAAGCAATACAACAATAATTTAACTACATACCTCAAGTGGGGCGTTACATCACCTTCCTCATTTTTTCCCAAGAACCCCACAAATCTAAGTAACAAGCTTAGCTAGACATTTTGTATCACGCTTAGCAGACATAAGCAATGCACTTGAAAGTCTAGATTAATCAAAATGCAGGTTTAGCCTTTCGTTTGAGTGACTTTTGCTGCAAACACAAAAAGAACTCCTCCAACTAATCCTGTAACTATTACCTTTCAGTTGATACATTAATTAGTAGAGCATTCCGTTTTTGGTATACTGTAATGACGTTGATGAAAATATGTCAAAATTACTTACATATTGACAAGAGATTGACTTTTTTCTGTTAGGAGGGTACCATTTAAGTTATTATTTCCAAGAAACCTAAGTAAAATAGCAGCAATTCGAGTTTCAACATAATGAGTACACTCTGTGAAGTAAATCACACAACAAAGCAGAAATGGTAGATTACAGGAATGTCAGTGAACCCAAATTGAAAAGCGGGCTGAGAATCTATCCACTTATATTGTTGAAACTTAAATCACTGAAGAAAAGTATTAGAATTACACAATTATAAGATGAAGAAACTTGCTAACATCCAAAAAGTAATGGAGTGAAAAATAAAAAAGAGAAAAGGGAATAAATAACTTATAGATGCATCAAACTCTGGTAGTCGCCAATGTTAGATGGAACTAAATCGGAAATTTTGTTATTCCTTAGTTCTCTGTAGCATATGGAACCAACAGTCTAGATCAAAAAAGGAAGAAGAAGAAAAACACAAAAAGTATATATAAGAGGTAACTGAGCACAAGATTTTTGAACGTTGACTGTATTGCCTTACAAGATAGTTAAAGATTGCATATTCCTTATAAATGCCAAGGACAAGCTCCCATTGTATAAATTGCTTATTCTCCTAGATTTTCATTTCTTATAAGATTAATAGCACTGATTATTGAAAAACTCAAATATAATCAATGAAATATTGTAGGTGAATACTCACAACTCAGTTAGATTAGTCAGACCAGAAAAGATATATATATATATATATATATATATATATTCTTAGTCTCAAACATTATAACTACAGTGTTTGAAACTGAATTCATAATGAAGAAACCTAACACTAAAATAACTTGAGGGTGACAAAGAACAAAATAAAGAAAAAGATTAGAATAGTTTTCTCACAAGATTTTAAGATTTGACCAATTTCCTATAGAATCACGGATCCTCCCTATAAGTTTAGTGTCAGAAGAAAACCTGAGCACAAAAGAAGAATTTTTTTCAAGATCTGATCCTAGCCATTTTTCATCAGCAGAATGTATATCTATATTGGAAAAATTCCAATTAGAAGATTAATAGAATCAAAGAGTTCTTACAATGTTTCCAGGTTCCTCAGATGAGCTAAATTTGAAGGAATCTCACCCCTTACTCCAGTATTGTCTATATATCTGCCAAGGCAAAGAATATTCACAAATTCCATCACAATTCAGTAACTTGTCTCCAAATAAAGCCATCATCAATAGACGAATATGTTATACATGATACTATAATCTCCAATTAAAGCTAAGACTAAAGCCAAGTAAGGTTTTCACCTTTTTCATCCTTGTGCTAACATTATAGAGTAGAAAAAGAAAAATTTGTTGGGCTTGGGCTTCCCTCATGTGAGGATTACCCAAAAGCAGAAAGTCCAAAATAAAAATTGGAAAGAAAAAAAAAAGGTGAGAAGAGTAGGGTCGCTCATTTTTGGAGTGTGTGAGTAGCGAGAAAAAGGGCACTGTTCAGTGTTCACAAATAAAGTTAGCAAAGTGTGAGCGAGGCAACCGCACCAAGTTATTCTGGTGATAATCCAACGATGAACCTTGCTTCGTTTTTGCTCAAATTTAAGAGTGTTGTTGTTGATAGCAAGATCTTCACATCTGACAGCCAGTTTCTTGATAGCCATTTTGTGAAGTTTTGTCTCTAGAAAGACAACCAAATCAAAGAGTTTTGAGTTGTAGAATTTAAGTCATCTATCCTTCTTCAGCCAGACGATCAGATGGTTATCTTTAGTTTGATGTAACAACTGCTGAAAACTAGTACAATGCATGCAATTTAACAATAGAAAATTGGGCCCAAAGTTTTGTTTTCATTACAAATCATGTGTCTTTTATACATAAAGAGTACTATTTACAAAAATGTATTTTAAAAGACAAAATAGGAGAAACAGTGTAGCTATTCCTCATCGCTTGCCGACGCCCCTCCGACCGCATCATCACCTAGAACCTGCATCCACAAAGGAAAATAACGGGGTGAGCACAAAATAATGCTCAGTAAGTAAAACTCTCTATCTGTCTGTCCCCGTATGAATAACTTTTAATTCTTTCCTTATACTATTTCTGATTCTATTTCTGTTTCTAATAACATCATGGCCTCATCTTACCGGAGGTACGGCCGGATGGCGTTCACACAGCACCATCTCACTCTCTATGGCTATCGGGTGGAATTCACACAGTACCAACCCGTTCTTAGTGACTACCGAGTGAGGATCACAAAGGCACCAACTCACTCTCTATGGCTATCGGGTGGAGATCACCTAGCACCTACCCTTCCTCATGAATTTTGGGTAACGATCACCAAGCATTTACCCCTCTAGTCACTATCGGGTGATGGTCACAAAGCATCAACCCGCTTCTACTAACCGTTGGATGATGATCAACAAGCATCAACCCACTTATCTAATAACTAATCGGATAGTGATCACAAAGCATCTACCCTATTTAATTACTCATTGGGTGACGATCACAAAGCGTCGACCCATCTCTCTAAGGGCTATTCGGATGATGATCACCGCATCAGTCCGATTCCCATAACGGTCGGGTGACGATCACAAGCATCATCCCAACTACACTATCTTCTATTCATTCTATTGTGCATTTTTCAATGCTCTCTACCCTTAGAGTAATTTTACCCACTAAGCTCTCTACTCATAGGGTAATTGCATACACCATTTCCTTACACTCTCTCTAGGTCACTTTCCATGTACAACTAGTGCCTATGGATGTTCATCTTCACCAATGCACTTATGAGATGCCAATATGCAATGTTGCAAGAATTAAGGTTCATTACTCACACTCAAACCTCTCTTAGCATTTCATCAAACAACTCATGTGCACTATAAAACTCTATCATAGCCATGATTCTAAAACTTTCCTAGCCATCCAAAATGGGAAAAACCCCTTCACAAAGCCATAATAACCTGTCAAACAAAACACTTCCAAAAGGGTTCCATAACACCCCTTCAAATCCATCTCAACTACCTTGCCAATCCAACAACCCTTTTCTCATATTTGCAATGAATAAACAATCACAAGGCATAGAAATCTCTATTTAATCCTTCATACATGACATATTACATGTACATCACATACATACATCAAGTCTATCAAAACCCTAATCAAGAAGTTTCATAAATCTCAACTTGGTTTGGTTTTACTTACCTTGTTATGGAGAGACTTCACCAACTCTTCCTTTCACTTGGTTTGCTTGACCTTTTTCTCTACTCTTAACCAAAAGAATAAAAACCCTCAAACTTCAAATAAATAATAAACTCCCAAATCACACAACTTAAGTAGAAATCCTTACCTTAGGAAGCCTTAGGTTGATTTCCACCCCAAATCACTTCAAAAGCCCCTTAGAACTCTGGATCAAAAGAAAGAGAAGTTGAGAGGAGTATTGATGAAGATTTGCGTTTGAGAAGAAGAAAATGAGGGGTTTCTTTGATTCTAATTCCTTTTAATGAAATATAAACACACTCATTCCCATTTTGCCCTTATTCTTCTTTGGGAATTCCATCCATGTCCTTTGATTCATTACAAACTCACCCCTATAACAACATATTCTCCATGAAAATTCCTTACAATTAACTCCCCACTTTTCCTGCTAATTAGGGGTAGAAAGGTCAAATTGCCCTTAGGGAAGAAAATATCTAAAACTCAATCAACATTTTATTCAGCCTGTCGCCGCGGCGAAACTGTCCAGCAGCTCCCCCATGGCTTCAACACCTCTTCGCCGCGGCGAAGATTCTTCTTCGCCCCGGCGAAGACTAAAACACTAAACTTCTTCTATTTTCAACCAATTTCAGGGCAAACATTCAACACAACACTAAATCAAACAATATTACCAAAAACCAACTCAAACAAGAGCGAAAGAAGAAACAATAACAACGTACCTCAAGTGGGGCGTTACATTTGATCAACCTAATTTTTTGTCAGCAAGCAAAAGACGTTTGACTCTTCAATCTGGACGGTTGGTTTTTTATTTTAACAATTGAGTTTGAAGTTATACAACCTCTTATGTGTATTTCACTTTGATAAAGCTCTAAATCTGTGTAGAATACCTATTTCACTTCGTTAGAGCTATGATAAAGTTCTAAATTTGAGTGGAATATTTTTGGTGAATTGTAGCGGTTGTAAACACTTCTCATTAATGGATTGGAGAGGTTTTTTAAACGAAAGAATGCATTAACAAAAACCTTTCCTAAAAATGCATTAACAAAAACCTTTCCTACTTAAATGAATATGTGAGGAGCAAAACCCACCAAAAATATTGTACACAAATCTAGAGTTTATCACACCTTTAACATAGTAAAATATATAAATGAGTTACAAAAAGAGAGTAAAATCAAGCTGTATAACTCCAAACTCAGCTGTTAAAATCGAAAACCAACCACCTAGATTGAAGAGCCAAACATCCTCTGTGTGTTGACAAAAAATCAGGTTGCTTACCATCCGATCATCAGGCTGAAGAAAGACAGACTAACTAAAATTCTGCAACTCAAACTCTTTGATTTGGTTAGAGGTAAAACTCCACACAAATGGGTATCAAGAAACTAACCGTCGGATGTGAAGATCTTGCCGTCAATAACAATGCTCTAAAATTTGAACCAAAACGGAGCAAGATTCACCGTTGGATCATCGCCGGAATAACCTAGTGTGGCTGTTTCTCTCACTTCTGCTACTTTTATCACCCTTCTCCATTTTTTTCTCTTTTCAATTTTTGGCTTTCAGGTTTTGGGCCATCCTTCACATGAGGAAAACCCAAGCCCAACAAAATTTTACTAGGAGAACAAAATTGAGAAGTCTATATCAACTTACAATTCTTTTAATTTTATCAAGTTACCCAGCTCAGATGGTAGAGGACCAGAGAAGTTGTTTGGTCCCATACTTTTACAACCCAAAGAATAATATAATATTGCAATGCAATTACACAAGAGAGTTCATTTAGATAAATTATTATACAGTTAGGAAGCGGAGAAACTTTGAACTTACATATATGCTAACTCAGAAAGCATGCCAAGCTCTTTTGGAAGCTGCCCTGACAATGTGTTAATGTAAATGGTCCTGATCAGAATGAGACTAACAATCAGAAGTAGAAAACCTTGTATGAGTTTCAAAATAAAAAATTCAAAGCTTCTTATAGGTGTTTTAATCCAGTTAGATTGCCTATTGATGGAGACAGTGGACCTGACAAAAGATTATCGCTCAAGTCCCTATTAGAAACAGAAGAAATGGGTAAGATTTAATAGAGTAGTACTACACTCGCAAACATTTCTCACTAACTTTCTCACAAACGCGACATTTTAGGTCACAATTGGTCAACTTGTATAGGTCCTACCTGCTTAACAATGGGTCCCACCTGACCAAGCCAATTGTGAGCTGCCATATGGGGTTAATGAGATATATTTGTGATGCTAGTATTATTGGATTTAGTATATAAGAACACGATGTCCAAATCATAGAGTTAACATTATTACACGATAATGTGTTGGGCCGGGTCACTCCTTAGTGGAGAAAAGTCCAAAAAGGGAGGCAAACTTGAATAAACAGCAAATTTTATAAAAGGAAACCAAGAGAGAGAAGAAAATTTGGTTTTTTGGGAAGCTATGACCAGTCTGCATCAGATTTTTCATACATGAATAGTAACCCTATTTTGGTGAAACATATCCGAACTTTTTTCAAAGTTACAATGTAATACTAAGATAGTTATTTTTTTATGATTGTATGTCTCTAGTTCTACCTAGGGAAGTATACTCATTATTCAGTTAATAGTGGAGTTTTTTTATGGTTTTTACTCTTACATTGGAGAGGTTTTCCACATTAAAATAACACAACACCAGCCAATTTTAACATGGAAAACCTCCTTGATGTGAGGAGTAAAAATCACGCGACCCAAGTCCACTGAAAAACTCAGTAATGAGTATACAAAGTTCATCTCTAGCTAGAACTAGAGGCATACATCAACAAGATCATCAAGAACAACAATTTTGGTATTACAGTGGAACTTTGAAAAAAATCAAAGATAAGTCTCACCAAAATGGAGTTACTGTTTACAAACAAAAAATCTGATGTAAGGAATTGTTAGTGTTATTGACAATCCAACCGTTCAGATTGAAGAACCATGAGTTACAAGCATGCTGACAAAATTTCAGTTCAATCCAACCACAAATCAATCACCGATCGGCGGTTTGATGAATCTATCACAGCTTCCCAAAAACCCAGTTTTTCTTCTTCCTCTCTCGTTCTCTCTCCTCTACTTCCCTCTTACAAAAGAATAATGTTACGGACCATGGTTGTCAAATCATGTATTGAAAACCTAATTTTTCAAATCGTGTATCGCGTATCGTATCGTATCGCAGGATACGCCTTTTTCAAAAACATTAATAAAATAATAAAAAATTTCTAAAAATTAATATCATCTCCATGATTAATTAATAAATTTTGTGGTATTATTGGTTTTAAATCATGGTATTACATAATCAAAATTAATCACAAAATTAAGAATCTATATCATTTCCTCTCAACCATTCATATCATTTACAAGATCAATGTCAATATCTATAACTCTACTGGTTTTATTATTATCATACAAAATAGGCAACACATCTTCCTTTTCACTTTCTCCATGCAAAATTGGTAAATTTGGGTAGGTTTTAGTAAACCGGGTTGGGTGACCTAGATTTGACTTGAAATTTTTTTTGGACCTTTAACCCAAATTAATAAAATCGTATCAATTTGTATTGATATTTTTAAGGATATAAACAGATACGTATCATATTGTAGGATACATATCAACGTATCGAAATGTTTAAGATATACTCTCTGATACGTATCGTTAGTGACTTGTATCGAATCGTATCATAAGATACGTATCGCGTATCGTAGGATACTAACAACCATGTTACGGACACCATGTTACGGACACCAAAGACTTCATTTAACAGCAACCAAAGGCTTCATTTTATTCTAGTTTGGGCCTCACTTTTTGGGCTTTTCCCCACTAAGGAGTGACCCGGCCTAACATAATGAAGTAAAAGTTTTTAATAAATATTGTCTAAAACAATACACAATTGAAATATGAGCAGTGATCTATTGGCTGGATAGAATTAAGGCAAAAAAATAGCTCAAAGGAAAATTGTGTAATCACATGTAAATATTATAAAATATGAATATAATCTAAAATAATATAATTGAAAGACCAAAAGGAAGTTCCAAGGAAGAGGGTGTTTAACACCATGTATACACTATTGGTAATAGGAGATAAATTTCACTTCTAACACCCTCCAGCTAGCGCAAAGGAGGGGATTCATTTCCAATCTAATTCTACATCTAAATGTAAAATTTTATTTATTTATTTGGGTTTTGTAAATGAAATATTTATTTTTATGTGCTATTCCTAGCACATGAACGATTTTGTAGAATTTTATTTGATAAAATTTTTTGAAAGTATTCTATTCAATTTCACGTGGAACTGGCATTTTGGGGTTGAAATCCTATCAAATTTCATCAAAAATATTTCCAAAAAATTGAAGTTAAAGTTTCTCTGAAGTTGGGCCGAAATAGAGTAGGTCCAAAAAGAAATACAGATGTTAAGTTTCCGGGCTTCAAGTCACTGTTCTCACTTCAATATCTCCACAAAGCATAGCAACTACACCAGACATCGATGGCCTTAACGAGGCAAAGTCTTGAGTACATAAAAAAGTCCGAGTATATTTAATTCTTCCTCATTGTATTTTGATAATTTGGAGCTCACTAGTTGGGTGATTGTTCTCGTATAGGTGTCAGGCTTGGGAAGCATGAAGTATAAGAATTATGATATGAGTGATTGGATCACCGTGTAAAAAAGGTATTGGCATGCACATCAAATTTGACTCATCTCATACATTCTAAAAGCCAAGAACCCACAGGCACACTTCTCAAAGAAGGTGGGGTGGCTGTGTCTCCTCAAGATAACCAACACGGAAATGCGATGTTGCAGTAGAAAATCCTCCAAGATTCTTTTTCTTAGCACCAAGCAGGGATCTTAGCTAATTCTGAAAGACCGCCTGCAGTTCCCATAAGTTTAGCTGCAACACCACTTCCAACAATTGCAGAAAGATTTGGAGCAATATATCCCGTATTCTGCTTTCTACAAAATCCAGGATTTTCTGCTTCGCTCACATGACTCAATCGTCATTTGGAGGACCTTCTCAGGAAGTGGCCTACCACTTATGGTTGAAGCTGTAACTGAAACCACCATAATAAAAGCTGAGGGGAAAAGCCCCTTCAGATCAACAACGGTCATTACCAATCTCTTTCACAAGACGGGCATAATCAATAGGGTGATGGACAAGTAATTCAAGCTCTGGAAATTTCAACCGATTATTGTCACGAATGATAACAATTTCATTCTTAACATCCACTGATATTGCATATTTCTATCCACAATCAACAGGTATTCTGGATCATCTTCTAATATTACTCCATGATCCTCAAGTGCATGTTCAACTTTCTGCATTACATCAGTATGTCTTTGAGTTTTCTGCAATTTTGAAACATTTTACAGGTCATCATAGTTTAGAGCTTCTACATCTTCCAGCAGATCACCGTCGACCGTATCTTCCATGTTTGCGTCGTCTAGGAAATCGGCAAGAGTAGCCATAACAACAAAAATTTACTTTATCACTTCGGGGATCTTCTTTTGAACTGCTGAAGGCTATTATGTTATGTCATTGAATGAATAAGGAGATTAGCTAGGTTGTATATATAGTCTCTAAACTATAATATTATTATCATTAGAACAATCACATTTACATTTGATAAAAGGCTTGGCAGTAGAGGAGTCGATGGCGGCTCCACTGCATGGTTCTCCACATTTATATACTCAAAACACATATTATAATATCCAAAGTGAGACCACTCTTTTATATTAATTGTACAAAGGGATTTAATAAAAAATTTACACTCAAAAGACTTTTCAACTCCATCTCTCTTGAAGCTTCTTGCAAGTTGTAATTTCATTAAATGCTTATGACGGTAAATGGTTTCTTGGAGGCCAAGTGGTCTTCTACAGAGTACAGACTTCCAAGAAAAGAGGGAGGCGGCGGTGATACTCAACGCATGCAAATTGTCTAATCCGAATGTTTGCAATTTATATAATTCAAACTGCAACAACTGTTAAACATTAAAAATCTCGCAGTTATCAGAAGAGTGAGAAGAAATGGAATTTCCCTTTCTTTGCTTCTTATAAGAATCAAAAAAACCTCCATAACTTTTCTTTGCAGATTTCAACACAAACTGAGAACCCAGAAAAAGCTGACGCAACAATGATATTACAAAGAATCGAATTCCATTATCTAAAACATAAGATTAACCCGTTTGGATATTAACCCCTTTTATAGTATTTTTGCTACCTAGCCCTTGGTCCCCGTTGACAATTCTTTGTTCCAATATTATCTACTTGAGTTTATTTGTGTTACATTTCTTTTAGCATTACGAATAACACCTGTGCTGAACAAATATGAAATAAAAGTGGAATCAAGACTGAAAGTCAATCAATGGAGCAGGGCTTGAGCACCACTTATTGGTGGAGTTGTATCCTGATTACTTAAACTTGCTGATGAGATGTAATGGCTAGTATAATCACTGCTTTCTTCAGCTGTATCATCATCACTAACAAAACTGGTCACATCATCAAATGTCCATTCAGTCAAGTATCCTGGCTTGGAATTCACTGTACTCACTTCAATATCTCCACAAAGCATAGCAACTACACGAGACATCGATGGCCTCGATGAGGGCAATGTTTGAGTACATAAGAGAGCTACTCCTATCAGGCGTTTTACTTCTTCCTCATTGAATTTTGATAATGTGGAGTCCACCAGTTCGAGTTGGTGATTGTTCTCGTATAGGTGCCAAGCCTGAGAAGCATCAAACATAGGAATTATGATGTTAGTAATTGGATCAGGATAGGAGGAATGAAAGAAAAGGAATTGACATGGGCATCAAATTTGACTCATGACATATATGCTAAAAGTGACAAACTGGACTCATTTCAACTACTCGAATTATTCTTTTCTTTTTTTTTTTCCAGAGACTTTAGAATTCACAATTAACATATACCTAACTTTTCACAAGACTGGCAATAATAAAATGTTCATTGACGTTGTTTCCATGCTGATGCAAACCAAAACACAAGGCTAGAAACCATTTAATAGACTCCAATGAAAGAAGGAGAATGATGTAATAGAGTTCATTCATACCCAATCAAGAAGATACATCTTCTCTTCTTCCAAGCTTGAATCTGAGTTTGGCCTCCCAATAACCACCTCTAGAGCCACTACTCCAAAGGCAAACACATCAGTCTTCTCTGTAAGATGTCCACGTATGGCATATTCAGGTGCTAGATATCCACTATGTCAATGCAAAAGAAACAAAATTCATTACAGTATATCCAATGAATGTAAGCATTATAACTTATTAACAAATTTAAGAAGGAAATGAATATATGAGTCTACAAAAAATCTTAAATTGTCCCTGCCACACGGGTGCTTATGTGTGTCTTCTTATCATCATAAAGTTTAGCCAAACCAAAATCTGATATTTTAGGGATAAGATTACCATCAAGTAGAATATTACTGGCCTTCACATCTCTATGTATGATTCGAAGCCTCGATTCTTCATGAAGATAAGCTAGACCTCTTGCTACTCCCAAACAAATATCATAACGAGTTGACCAATCAAGATCCAAACTTTCTTTTCCTGCTCAAAAAAGTCATATAAAAGTTATGAATTCTGATTTCCATACCCAATAATGCTAATACTCCCAAGAAAAACATAGTATTGATGTATATGCTAATCACATACCAAATAATGCTTGATCAAGACTATTGTTTTCCAGATATTCATAAACAAGGATTCGTTGTGCTCCCTCGTAACAACATCCATAAAGTTTTACTAGGTTCCGGTGCTGCACAGCTGATATAGTAGCAATTTCTGCTACAAATTGGCTCTTCCCTTGGTGGGATGCTACAGACAGTTGCTTCACAGCAATAACTCTTCCATCACAAAGTGTTCCCTATTGAGTGAAAATTTCAAGTTGAATTGGTGAGAAAAATCAGTAAACACTTGACCTACTTATGCTTATTATTGACCAGATACCACATCTTGTCTTCATATAATGGACCAATGAGAACAAAAAGTAATGCTGACACCTGTATTTAGTTCTGGGAAAATAATTAATCTTAGTGCACTGCAATGTGCTCAGCACTTGTTTTGCATCAATTAGGACAATGACTTTACCTTATAAACTGGTCCAAATCCTCCCTCTCCAAGCTTATTTGCAGGAATGAAGCCTTCTGTAGCAGTCCTTAGTTCAGCATAATTGAAAGTGTATGGTCTAACATCTATCCCTAGAAGCTCTGAAAATTCACCAACAAATATAGCTTACTATCGCAAACCTGTTTATTAATCAAATACATTTGAGGGTATTTTGTCAAGTAGAAAGATCTTTCAAATTACCGTCATCATCATCAGACTGTGGCCTTTTTCTTCTTCGAACAATGAAGAAAACTGCAAGAACTGATAGAAATACAACCCCAACCCCAACAACCATCCCCACAATTAGGCCTGTTTTATTCTTCTGAGTTTTTAGACTTGGAGGTCTTACAGTAGGCTCGAAATCTGTATCAAAGCTCAGCAGTTAACTCAACATCTTATATAATGCTGGGAAATCAACCAAAAGAGGAAAAAGGAAAATAAGGATGTTTCCATTTATTTAACCTGGGGTAGCACTGATGGCCGAAATTGAAGGTCCATATGTACCATCATTAGGAATACAGCAAGTCCCTTTCCCAGCCCAAAACAAGTGGATATAAATAGTTTTCAGATACCTGAGCGTATATTGTCTCTGAACTGCTGTTCTAAGGACTCCATTTGCTACCCTTTTATGTCAAATCCTTTTAACGCGATTTTCCTGGAAATGCACAACAAAATTGAAACAAAAACCAGTAACGTTGAAGGAAAATGATATTGGGAAACAGAAAAATTTAAGGTCATTCGTCATGCTTTAACCAAGGCTAAACCTATGTGATGTATGGGGAGGCTGTTTCACCTAAAAAACTGAATATGAAACACAAACCTGAACATATATATCGAAAACAGCCCTCCATAACTTTTCCATCCTGTAGTACGAAATCAGCTATTTTTGCAAACTTGAGAGTCACGGTGTAGTTTCCATTTTCAAGGCCTAAACCATAGTATCTTAGAGATGAAGCAGAAATTCGAGCTGTTTGGAAACAGTTCGATGTCTTGAGTATTTGTGATTCTAGATGTAGAAGAGCTGTTATACATTGGACTTTTGCTCCGCTAAATACTCCAACATTACTTACTCCCCAGCTGTTTTGTCGTCACATAGTATTTAGCTGGACCAAGAGTCTCATTATCCCTCTCATACACAATATCATTATAAGATTTAATTTCTCGACCACCACAATTAACTGGAAGCTAGAATCTGCATACCAAAATCAAGTACAAAATTAAGATACTGTGTCTAAAAGTATGATCTATAATATCTATGGAACTCTTCCCGGATGAACTCATCCCACATAGACCATTGCCTTTTGTTTCACCTTAGTACTATTACTGTGTTAATTCTGGAAATCACAATATGACAAAATGCAGTTGTACTTACAGATTGGAGAACCTCGGTAGCAAGGAAAATTGCGGGGAGACAGTTCATTCATGGCAAAGCACTGACAGAAGGGGAGGATAGATTATATTAGACAGCAGGAACTAGAGCGCTAAGGCACCCATTTCTATAGTTGTCCATTATTATTCATTTTTCTATTGTATAGAAAGTTCAAGCATTTCAATAATACTAGAACAAGGATCACCTGCTGTTAGAACTTTCTAGGGTGAAGTTGTTGGCAACTAAGTTACTGCACATTGCACCAATAAAATTCGAATGCTAGTTTCATCATAGTGTAAATACAAAAAAATGTGAACAAGTACAGATTTTACAGAAATTATGTTTAACAGAATTTAAGGACTACAGTTGTAAACTTTTATGCGACCAAGAAGGAAGGCTTCCAGATAGATTATTAAGATACATCTCTGCAAGCATCAGGTGAGGAGACTGTGATTACATAATGCAGCTACTGGCAAGTATAAAATTCAGGATTATTCAAATCACACTGGTGCTATATATAAGCTTTTGAAACCATCTAAAACCTCAACTTCCCCATGTTTTTGCAAACACCACAAGTCCAAGTTACAAGCTTAGATGGTCATGTTAGTTTACATTTAGCAAGAAGAAGCTTGCACTTGAAATTGATTAATCAAAAGCAGTTTAGTCTTTCTTCAAGCGATTTTTGCATCAAACTGGGGTCCCAGAAAAACTTGTCCTGAACTATTACTTTTTCGTTGATCATTACAGTAAGCAGTCCATTTTTGGTATATTAGTGAAATGAGATTGATGTATATGTTAAAAGTACTTACATATTGAGAGAAATTACTTTTCTCTGCAGGGAGGATACCATTACTTATTATTTCCAAGAAACCTGAGTACAAAAGCAGCATTACATGTTTCAGTATAACGAGAACATTCTGGGAAGTAAATGACAGAACAAAGCAGAATTGGTGGATTCAGACTGAGTTAGCGAACTCAAATTGAAAAGCAAGCTGGGAATCTGTCCACTAGATTGTTGAAACTCAGATCCCTAAAGAAAAACATTAGAATTACACAATTATAAGATGAATAAACAGCTAACAACCAAAAGGTAAAGGAGGGAAAATAAAAAGGTGAAAAGAAATAAATTACAGATGCACCAAACTCTGGTAATCGCCAATGTAAGATGGAATTGAATCCAAATTTTGTATTCCTTAGTTCTCTGCAGTATATAAAACAAACAGTCAAATCAAGAAAGAAGGGGAAGAAAAGCACAAAAATAAATGAGGTAATTCAACACAAGAATATTAGAACTTTACAGTGTTGCCTTACAAGGTAGTTAAAGATTTCATATTCCTTATGAATGCAATACGATGAGCTCCCTTGGATAGGTCGCTTATTCTCCTACATTTTCATTTTTCACAGATTGTTAGCATTGATTATTGGAAATGAAACTGATCAATGAAATGTTGCAGGGAACACTCACAATTCAGTAGATTAGTCGAGACTGGAAAAGGATGATGGTATCGACCCTTCAAATGAGTTTCCTTGAAACTCCTACATTAACATATAAAAAAAGAAAGGAAAGAAAATTGTGAACTGTATTGGCATAGCATTCAAAGTAGGACCTTCAAGTACCTGAATACATATTCTCAATCTCAAACATTATAATTACAGTGTTTCAAACTGAATTCATAGTGAAGAAGTTTGAGCTAAAGTAACTTAAGCATCAAACTAAAGAATAAATAAATTAAATAGTTTTCTCACAAGGTTTTAAGATTTGACCAATTTCCTATAAAGTCAGGATCCTTCCTGTAGTTAATGTCAAAGCCCACCTGAGCACAATAAAAGAATTTGTTTAAGATCTGATCCAAAGAATTTTTCATCAGCAGAATGTATATCTATTTTAGAAATTTTCCAATTAGCTGATTACATAATCAAAAAGTCTTACACTGACTCCAGGTTCCTTAGATTAGCAAAGGTTGAAGGAATCTCACCACTCACTCCAGAACTGTCCATATATCTGCCAGACAAAGAATATTATAAAATCTATACAATTCAATAACTTGTCTAATAAAGCCACCACCAACTAAACGAATTACCCAACACAAGATAGTAAAATCTCAATAATAAAGCCAGGTGGGGTTTTCACGTTTTGCATTCTTGTCCACAACATTATAGAGTAGGATAAATGCTCAATATAGAAAAATTTTGCATTGAAAATGAAACCGAAAAGTCTCTAAAACTTACAATGTCTTTAATTTTGTCAAATTACCAAGCTCAGAGGGCAGAGGACAGAGAAGCTGTTTGTTCCCATATAAGTTGCTCTAATTTTGACAAATTACCAAGCTCAGGTGGCACAGGACCAGAGAAATGTTTGTTCCAACCTCTACATACCCATAAATTTAATTCTTCAGTAATAAAATCGTTAGCAATAACAACAGAGCTCATTTAGATGAATATTAAAAGGTTAAAAGGGGATAAACTTTAAACTTACAATACTATTAACTCAGGAAGCGTGCCAAGCTCTTTTGGAAGTTGCCCAGATAATGATTAATGCCAAAGTTTATCAGAATGGAATCTTAACATCAGAAAAAGAAAAAAAAATGTACGAGTTTCAAAATCAAAACTTTATATTAGCTGCTTACAGGTATTTAATTGCAGTTAGATTGCTGCAGATGGAGACAGTGGACCGGACAAGAGATTTAGTCCCACGTTCCTATAGAAAAGAAAAAACAGGAAGATAAATATTTATGAACACAAATGATTTTATGACATGATACAAATACAGTGTCGTGTCGAAAGAGTTCAAAGATATTAAATAAAATGAGCAAATGACTGTTTTCACCCGAGGTTTGACAAATCAAAGTTAATCCTCTCTGGTTGCATTTATTCCATATTCCACCCTTAAACTAAGGCAGTTTCCTTTATTTAACAGTTAAAGGTTAAATGGCCATTTACTTTTTTTATTTTCTGCAAATCTCTCATGCCCACTGCCGCTTCTTTTTCTTCTACCTCATTCTTCTTCTTCTTTAACACACTCAAAATGTGCCCAGATTCAAAGATTAAACCTTTTGCTTCATCACTTTTTCTTCTGAGTGGGTATTTTATGGACATTCTTCTCTTCTTCTTTGGCTAAAATATGCCTAGACTTCATTTTATGCCAAAACCATCTCTCACCCACTGCTGCCTCTTCTTCTACCCATTCTTTTGCATACAAATGCACCCATTTTCCTAATTCAAGGCCCCAAGTCGCGAAATTGGAGGAAGAACACTAACCAAAGTCACATAATTGACGCACATCTCCCATTTGCATCTCGTGAAACATCTCTATCGCCTCCTAAATTTCCCATTTTGCATACCAGATATCATAGCATTCCACGAAACCACTTCTTTGAGGCATTTTCAAACAGTCCTAGAAGCTCTAAAATTTCCAATTCAACAAACCATCAATCATCACATTCCACAAAACTACATTACCTTCTTGCCTCCTCTTATCTCCCACTAACTACTACCATTACCAAATTCAACAAGTTTTTATAGAACAAAAATATGAGCATCATCATTTCGCACACATAACAACATTCTAACAGATTGCTGACAATAAACTCATCATAAAAATCCAAATTTCACAATTAACCCATGAACCTGTTTTCCTTCTAAAAGCCCCCATTTTAGCGCAGGCTTTTAACACAGAAGGAAATGTATACTTATAGGTAACACAAACCCATCACAAATCATTTGATAAAATAACAAGGCATGTACTCATGTAGAGCTCATCATCATACTCTCACTGACGGCGTTATAGAGGTTTATAAGAAAAGCAGTTGGGTTCACGCATTGGGAAAACCTTACGCGCGTAGTCTAAGTCACGGTAGTCGGAGAGAGAGCAGAAGCGAAGAATCTCGGCGGTGGCAACTGGGTCGTGGATTTGGGCAGTCTTGATAAAGTGGGCGTGACTGTTAGATGTCTCATGTTCTTGCATTTTGTGATTTCTGGGAAGAGTGAAGATGGGTGTTTTGATTTGTGGGAAGAGTGAAGATGGGTGTTGGGTTAAAAGAAGAGAAGAATGGGTAGAAGAAAAGAAGAGGCGGCAGTGGGTGAGAGAGATGGTTTTTTGCAGAAAATGAAGTCTGGGCACATTTTAGCCAAAGAAGAAGAAGAAAAATTCCCAAAAATACCCACTCAGAAGAAAAGGTAAATGAAGAAGAAGAACAGGTTTAATCTCTGAGTCTGGGCACGTTTTGAGTAAAGAGGAAGATTGAAGAAGAATGGGTAGAAAAATAGAAAAAATATCTTAATAACTATGCTCTAAAATAATACACAATTGAATACTGGAAACATACACGATTGGTGAGGAAATTTAACTCCATAGTCATCTGGGATCACACCATCAACTTGCAGTGAGTAAACTTGCCTGTAATTTAAGAAAATGAAACTTAAGCAACAATGAAATGAGAAAGGTCTTTAGTACCCACTGAATAAAAAAAAACATGTAAATAGGTGTTTTTCAAAAAAGTGTAGTTTGATATGGATGTACAGAACTCGCTACGGCTCTACCCAGTTCGCAAAATTGTATCTTTTTCTACTTACATCTCGATAATGTGGCAAAGAGTCTTATTATGTAAAACAATCACATTGTGAAGGGGTTAACCGGCGGTACCAATGCTGAGGAGTCGTCGATGGGGGCTCCACTGCATGGCTCTCCACTTATATTCCATTGATTTTGATTGCAGATATTCCCCATTTTTCATATAATGCGTTCAGTGCTTTATATGGTATTAGAAGAAGAACATAAATAAGCAAGAAAAACATCTATAATCAAAATGAATATAGAAATTAGAAGCGGACCTTCATTAGGAGCTGTAGTAGCTTGAGCTGAGTTTGAGCTACATGAAGGACAAGAACCTCCAAGAGAATGCAAATCACATACAAACAAACAAATACTAAATGAAGCTGGTGCTTTCATCAACATTATAATACATACATAAACCATATCAATCTTGTTTGTTTATTCAAAAACAATATCGTTACTGATTTGCTTAATTAGATCTCTACCTCAAGTCTAAATGATAAGTCTAATCCTGTGAAGACTAGTCTTGTTCGGCGACTACTCATTAGAATATTAACAAAAGCTAGCTCTTGGTCCAGTTGACTGCACTTTGTCAACCTATGTTTTCCTTTTTTTCCTGTTTATGATTGTTCTACGTTAAACAGATTTATAGGCTGCTGAAGGGGTAAGCAAAAGCAAGCTAGGAAATTATTTCCAATTGATTCTACTTTTTCAATGGAAATTCATATATTTTTACATAAAATTAATATAAATAAGGATATAGGATTAAGTTTACTTTTTTCAATAATTCTTTCTATTCTTCCCTCTAAAATTTTCTAAATTACCGCGTTTGTTGTTTATATCTAATGAAAAATAACACCAGTCCTATAAAAAAAATTGCCAGGAACTGGTTCTGATCACATTAAAACATTAATTAATGGGTTAGGAGATAATTAACTGTAAAGAAATGGAAGTGTGCGTTAATACTGAGTTCATAAGCTGTCATCATAGGTGTAGACGTAAAAATCTACCTGTACGGAAGGGGAGTCTGATCCGTGAGATTGAGGCCACTAGCGATCTGCTGTACCTGCACACGTAGAGAAACACAGTGAAGCGAACGGAAACATCGGGTGGTGTTTGCCGTAGCCACTCCGACGCTCAAGTCGCAAGGCGGAAAGGGCTAATATAGTGAGAGCTAGGGAGTGAGAGATTACCGGAAGTCTAGTCGGGGACTGTGACTACGGTGGTGAAGTGAAGCTCTCAAGTGAGAGCTTCGGGTGTGAAGGTGTAATGTCCTTTGTGAGAGGGCTGGCCTCTGCTTATATAGTGGTCGTCTGGTCTCCCAATCCTGGTAGAAGTAGGAGTCCTAGTATGACTCTGATGCAAACCCTAGAAGAATCAGGGCCGTGGTGAGCTGTCTTACCAATGTCCGGATAGGAAGGTGATTCTAATTAGGAGAGCAACTCTGAGTAGGAAAGTGATCAGGAATAGGAAGGCGACCTTGAATAGGAGGTTGATTTGGAGTAGGAAAGTACTCTGAGGGGGTTGTGGGCTCTGGATTCACCCATGGACCTAGGAAATGGACTGGGATTAAGAGGCTCGCGCCCACGTGGTTTGGGCCGACTATACCTCGTGTCAAATAGGACTAATCTGGCTTGGGCCTC